AGACTGGGCAAAACAAAAAATAAATTAAAAATAAATACTTATAGAAACCATAAACATAAAAATAAATAAATAAACAAAAAATCAACCCATTTACAGAGAGTGTTGAGGATACCCAGATGAATCAGCTGCTAAACTATTTCCTTCATCGATCATTGGGTCCCACTGGTGTGGAGGTCTTCTTTCCTGTCAAAGCAAAAGTACATATAGAAATTATTAATTCAAAGAAATTTAAAGTTTGCTATACAAAGAAATGCATACGAATGTTTTAATCTACCATATAGTCAAAACAAACCTTCTTTTTATCAAGTATGATATCAGCAATTAACTCTATTCATAAAAAAATAGTACAGAAAATGTAAATATGTCAAAAAAAGAAAAAGCTTCCTCTCCTTCTTATGAGTTCAACTTACTATATTGAAAGTTGGTTATCATTAATATACCCAAAAATCATACAAAGGAATATCAAAAGTTTTTCATTTACAGTAATTACTACAAATCTTTCCTCTATATATCAGGATTTCAATCAATGACACAGAGACTTTGCTAATCTACTTTAATATACTGTCAATGGTTCATACTATATTTTTAGCTTACCAAAGCATCCCTTGCCTTATTTAGCCAGATCTCAAGCATTTATTATGTTTACTATGAGTAAGGAAATTGCAAAATTTTACTTACATGGTGAATCTGTATAATATAATAATATCAATACATATTGTGAGAGGGTGGTGGTGAGAAAATGGGGGGGGGGGTATGTATAGTTCCTAATATTACTTTATGAATCTGCTAAATCATATATATATATACTGAAAGTTAGTCATATATTTGTCCCTTTGATAATGACAATCTGAACTACTGTGGTACCTTCCTCATTAAGGATCATCCAAATTTTCAGAGTCTGAAAGACTCATTGATGGTGCTCCTTTGTCTCTACTCTGCCAGAATGTGCGCAGCTTCATGAATTTTTTGTTTCCTATGAATTGCAGCATGCAAAAATTGGAAATAAAAGAAAAAAAATTAAAGAATGAACAGTCAAGATGGAACTGTTAACCCTGGTAAATCTTCTATGAAAAGAAGAAACCAAAGGGACAGTGCCATCCATTGATAATAAGCTACAGATCATACGCATACCTTTTAGATGTGAATGTAACCTTGGATCGTCATTATATTCCGGGTCATCATAAAAATGACGTGGGGGAGATCTATGCCGAACATAACCATCAGGTGATCTCGTGAAGCGTCTGTCTGGAGAGCGTCTACCTGATCTGCGGTCTGGAGAGCGGCGGTCTCCTCGAGAATCTGGTGATCTTCTCATTCTGTCAGAACGCATGTCAGGGGATCTTGTACGGTCAGATCTTCTATCTGGAGAGCGGTTCCGGTGTGAATCGGGAGAATGTGGTCTACGCCGCAACATTGGGGGTGAATACCGTCCATCTGAGAAGTGTGATCTATCACTTCTGGGAGAATAACGATCATTTCGATGTTCATATGATGGAGATCCTGATCTACGGAATGGAGGGGAAGACATCCCACCTGCAGGTGGGAGACGACCCCCTGGGAGAGGAGGTAAAGGTCCCATAAATGGAGGTTCTCCAGGGAGGAATGGAGGAGGCAACCCATGGGGCAGGCCAGGTGGGGGTGGTGGAACTCCTGGTGGTAAGCCATGGGGTGGAGGCACCCCTGGGGGAATGGGTGCTCCTGGGGGGAACATCAATGGCAACATAGGAGGTGGACCATGTAAGGGATGAGGAATGGGTGGAGAGTCTACTTCACGATGGAGAGATGGTGGGCCTGAATGATTCCCATCCACCATACCATCCAAAATGGGTCCAGGAGATGACATTGAACCATTAGCATCTACACCTGTTGGGAAAAGATAAAACTTGTTTTCATATGCCTTGCTACAATTACCAAACAACAGAGATATTGCTATTACATGCTACACAAATATACCAATTCATAAATTGCTACTGATAGCATAGATCGGGATGGTCTAATTAAATGGGCTGATTTTTCATATTCAGTGGAAAAAAATAATTGGTTCTAAAAGTGAAGTAAATCTAGGTTACTAATATGACAACATTTTTCATCACATTCATCTCATTAGTAAGGAATTAAAATCTGTGACCTTCAACTCATATGGCCAGCAATAAAATGGGCCAGGTTATCAAGGAAGACGGACCAACCTGGCTTAGATAGACTACCATTTAATAATGTTCCCTTTTTCAATATTTTGATACTGTAACAGAATTCACAGATTCTGGGCTTAGTAATACAGAACTGCCACATAAAACTAATTACATTTAGAAGCTAGTCTCCAGAAGCATGAATTCAGTTACTAGGCATCATTACTGTCATTTTACATATGCAATGGCCTTTTGCAGTACTAAATTGTACCAAATACATATACATTCCCTTAACTGGTAACTTACCGAGATCAGCATTAAAATTTGTATAATTACTGGACAACAACAAATAACATGAAATTCATAATCATCACGATTAAGTTATAATTGATCTGCAGTTATCAATACCATACCAAAAGGATTGTCACCAGAATCTTGTGAAATAATATCCATTTACCGATGACATATTACTTACGTTTTGCTGTAGGCTTTATAATGCCCATGGATTGTTGCTGCGATTCTTCCTTCTCTTTTTGCATCATGGCAAGGCGACTCTTCAACTGATTATTCTCCAGCCTTTGTTCCTCATGTTTCCGTTCGGCTGCCCTGGCCTGCACCTGTGGTAATAGTGTGGCAGCATTATTATTCAGTTGCCATAGCACAGTCATCCTCCGAGAAAATTTTATTTCAAACAATATTGCCATTTTAACATCAAGGAATTTTCCCTCCTACATTACGAGTTCACATACTATCATATGCTCACTTTGAGAAGTGCATTAAGGTTAAAGAGATTTCCAATATCTAAAAAAATTCTAATCATTTATACTTTCTATTTTAACACTTACCCAATTATCATGAGCCTTTTGTTCATGACTGGCAATCTGAGACTTGTAGGACTGTTCTTGGTCGTCAAGTTCCTTACGCAGACTATCCAGTTGTGTTCTGAAAAATAACAACATATAGTATTCAATACTACTCGTATGGATGACAAATGACAAATACATTTTCTCTCGTTTTTCTTAGACAGGTTATCCAGTTGTGTTCTTCAAAATAACAACACAGTAAATCTTATATTATCCATATGAACTACACATGACAAGTAAATTTGTTTTCTTTGTCTCTTTCACTCATAACAAAAAAAATCTAAATTATAATATATCCCAAATAATAATATTTCAAATGCACTAACTACAACTTCAACTGGGAAAAAAAATATACATATATAACAAAGGTTTTAAACAAACATCCTGCCAAGAACAAAGAACAGTAAATCTACAAAATGTATTTTGAAATTATCTTTTACCTTTTATAAACAAATTTTTAATAAAGCAGCAAAGATTTGTGATACATACATATATATTTACATCCACCCAAACACGATATGATTATATCTTCCATGTAACTAGATACCAAACTGCAAATTTTCTAAGCAGATACAGTCTAAAACTACAATACTGAATAACTGTTTACCATTTATGAAATTACTTGATTTTTCATTTCATAACTTTCGATACCAAAATTTGGTTATGCAATACCAATCATCAAAGGATGGATCACAAGTAATTTTACTGTACATACAATATTAGACTATAATTTACTTTTTTTCCTGGGTGAAGCCAAAACCACTATCAAGAGTGGAGAAATCCATGCTTGTAAACCCCCTGGGCCTTGGTCTCACTGGGGCCTCACTTTTCAAGCTCATTCCCATCACGCCTTTAGAAGAACTCAAATCCCGCTGTATTCTAGAGGGCCTTTCTGCTATTGCTCTTCCTTGTTGCTTTGCTTCATAAAGACTACGCATTGCTGCTACTCTGCTCTTAACATCATCAGAGGCGGGAGAGTCTCTCAAGTCAGATTCTGATTCACTTATAGACATAATGGGCATTTCTCTGATTCCTCTATCTGATGTAACAACAAATGTGGTGGGATGTGCTTCAGTGCCAACAACTGACGATGAATCACAAAGGTTGACATTTGTAGTTTGGGAAAAGTTAGAATGAGAAACTCCTGCTTGACTGTCTGAATGGACTTGAGTTGTGATTGAAGTTCTGTTCAATGATGAAACCGGAAGACAAGCGGTATCAACAGATGTGTATAACAGGGCAGCAGAGGCATATGAATGCCCACTTGATGTGCTTGATTCATGGATATGTTCATCAGAATCATGGGCATAAGTACCTATCTGAGATTTGTGAACACTAGCAGCAGATGAATACACTGATGAATTGAATTCCTCATTTGAGGTATGAGCTAAATAGGCTCTATAAGCTGGAGCAGGAGCTTCTTGTTGTGAAGAAGTTCCGCTCGAGGTTTCAGGTACTGTATCCATACACCTTTTCTGGCGCCTTAGTTCAGCTTTGGCCCTCACACATTCCACTTTAAATTCATCTGACATTGGAACATTTTCTGTGGTTGGTGACAGGTCAGATAGGCTGAAAGTATCTAATGATCTGGGGTAACCTCTCTTAGATTTTACTTTCCTTTTGACAGCATGGAAATACAAATAAATTAACAAAAGAAATATATATATAAAATAGAAAAGTAATATGAAATAAAAATAAAACAAATATTTACAACTGTTGTTGATATGGTTTAGAAAAAATCATGCTCCTTTCTTCTTGTTTCTCTTAAAGAGTTTCAAAACAATTTTGAAGATGATATAAATTAAACAGACTAAATTATGCATCTGAAAATTATACTTACTTGTAGGAGGCTATTTCTAGTTCATAATTCTGAATCTTCTTTGCAACAGCAGCTGCAGAGCCCTCAGCATCAACTCTCAGACCTTCTTGTGACTCCAATTCCCTGACACAAGAAAAAATAGTCAACTTATTTAAATATCCAGTAATGTTACCATCTTCCTGTTTGAGTGTGTGAATCTGTGACTCATGTTGTAAAATGAGAAGACACCATAAAACCTACTTGGTAAGTTGTGCTTCCTTCTCCTCAAAGTACTGAGACAACACAGCCAATTTACTCAATGCTTCTTCCTTCTCCTTGACAGCAAGATCATGATGGTCTCTTAGTCCTGCCACTTCTGAACGGATTGAAGCCATGGCTTCCTCTAAGTTCTTCTGAGCTATTTCTGCATCTTCCAACTGCTCTTGTAAGTCATTACGTTCATTTGTAACCTTTTGCAGTTCTGCCTTCACCTGCAAAAATGACAAAAATGACACAAGTAAATCTTTTGAGGATGAGCCATGGTAGGTCTGCAATTTATCATAGTGTATTATAATTTCTTTTTTTGTGCTGCACATGATCTAATTTTTAAAATATCCTTCCAGGGCATAGAACAGTTTCAAATACAAGTAGAGATTACAGGTAAAGTCTCAGTGCAAAAAGAAAGTTATCTATAAGACTTATAATGTAACACAGACAGAGGATATGGTGAGACAATAAACAAAATAATTTTACAAAAAAAAGTTTAAGAGGAAGAGGAAGCGATGATAGAACAAATTAAAATTTCCTAAACGTGTAAGAAAAATCATCCAGTAATGGAAAATTCTGAACAAATAATAATGCCATACAGCAACTGCTTTGAGAAAAAATATTTGTCCATACCCTAATAACATCAAATATAGCTGATAATTTTTCTTCATCTGGGGTAGCATGGTCATCATCTGATGTCAGTCGCAGCTGCTTCAAACATTCCTTTGAGACCTGTGAAAAACCAAAACCTTTTATTCTAGTTGCCATTGACATCTTATAATGTAAAATTTAGTTAATTACAGTGTGGTTAATACAAATTTTGAAAGAAGAGTTCCCTGGACAGCAGACAAAGAAAATAACTCAAATAGTTATAAAATTGAAGATGTGACTGACTATCAGTCAAGAGACCTGTAAATTCTTGTCTAGTTGCAAATCAGGTTTTACCGTAGTTTGGGGAAGGGGACAAGGAAAGAAAATGCTCAGGAAAGGAAGAAGAAAAGGAAAGTAGCATAGAAAATTCAAAGAGAAAGAATGACGAGAGGGAGGGGAGAGAGAGAGGGAGAGAGAGAGAGAGAGAGAGAGAGAGAGAGCAGAGAGAGAGAGAGAGAGAGAGAGAGAGAGAGAGAGAGAGAGAGAGAGAGAGAGAGAGAGAGAGAGAGAGAGAGAGAGAGAGAGAGAGAGAGAGAGAGAGAGAGAGAGAGAGAGAGAGAGAGAGAGAGAGAGAGAGAGAGAGAGAGAGAGAGAGAGAGAGAGAGAGAGAGAGAGAGAGAGAGAGAGAGAGAGAGAGAGAGAAAGAGAGAGGAGAAGAGAGAGAGAGAGAGGAGAGAGAGAGAGAGAGAGAGCAGAGAGAGAAGAGGACGGAGAGTGAAGAGAAGAGGGAGAGAGAGGAGAGAGAGAGAAGAGAAAGAGAGAGGGAGGGAGAGCGAGAGAGAGAGAGAGTGGAGAAGGGTGAGGGGTAAGAGAGTAGAGAGAGAGAGAAAGGAAGAGGGAGAGAGGATGAGGGAGAGAGGAGTAGGTAGTTAGAGAGAGGATGGATGGCGACGGGAGAGAGACCGAGAGAAGAG